ATGGCCTTCCCATGCCCATGGGAGCCTCCTTTTACTCCTACATTTCTCCCACAATGGTCCCTCCTACTCCGATTTTCTCCCGGAGGGCTATTTTTCACATGGGGTCTTATTTGACTCTATTTTCTTGAGGGAGGCTGATCCGAGATTTTTCGGATTGCTCCCATGCCTCCCACTTCAGTTTTCTTTACTTTTCCTTTTCCTTTTGGCCTTCTCGTTTGTCACCACTAGTACTTGCACTATTGGTGTTAATATTCTTGGCTGTCAAGATGTCGATCTTGACGGTGCACCTTGCATTTATTATTTTTCCCTTTTGCGGTGCCGCCGTTTCTTCTTGGGACTTTCACATGTCCCTGCCACTTGTCCCGTCGGTGGTCCCCGACACTTAGTCCCGTCGGTGGTCCCTGACACTTCGTCCCGCCGGTGGTCCCCGACACTTAGTCCCGTCGGCGGTCCCCGACACTTAGTCCCGTTGGCGGTCCACGACACATTTCGCCCCGGACGCCATTATTTTTACTTAGTCCCACGTGGCCCCGGGTGCCTTTTCCAGAGGTGTCCCATGCCCCTTGGACGTCTTGTCGCCCCATAGCAACCCCTCTCCTTAGTCTTTCCTCGCGCCTCGTGCGTGCCGATCTCTTTTGGTCGTGGGCCTTTGCTCCGAGGCTCCCGTAGGTGGCCTCCATGTTGGCCCCTCATTTCCTGACTTCCTGCGGCCTCTGGGTCGCCCCTCTCTTGGCTTCCCCATTCCCTTATTTTCATCGCGCTGCAATTGCTAGTTCAAAGGGCTCTTTGACCTTAGTCTTATTGCATTCTGATGGCCCTCCCGGCCTCCTGCTATGTTCTATGTGCCCCTGTTCTTGCGCTCGCTCGCTTGTCGTCGCTAGTTCTTTCCTCCTATGATTCTCTCCTCAGGGCATCACTCCCTTCTGCGGCCTAATCCTTTGTCTTTTCTCTCTCCTGCTTCCTCTCTCCAGATTTCTCTGTTGTGCACAAATTATCCGTATTCAATCTCTCGAGTGATGGGAAGTTATTCGAGACCCACCAGTCCCGACAACGGTGGTACAATGCTTGTTGTGCCAAGGCAATGATTGGTCATTGCAATCGACGTCAGGTCATCTGGTGATAATATTTGTGGTTGGGGACAACTATTTTGAGGTATGTTGCTCTTAACTTTATTTACCCTCTTTGACACTTCTTACAGTGAGCATGTGTGTTCTGTCTTGGGAGTCCTCTCATGTGAGGAGTCGAGTGCGCTCAACCTTGAGAGTCGACATTGTTCACGTGGAGCAATTGGAAGGAGAGGGTGTTGCCATCTGAAGGGCCCTGGGCGAAGCACACAGTCACGGTCACCATGCCAACCCACCTGGAGTAGAGCACGCATGCTTCATCGCTTTGTCCTTTGTCTGCCTGCTGCGCTATAGTTGGGGCACGAGGGGCCGGCCAAACCTACTGGGGAGACGAGAACCGTACGTCTATAAATAAACACCGGCGGGTTACCTTCCATTGGTTGTGATCGTCGTCCTGTTTGTGACGTTAAATAATTCCTGAGGACCTCGGGGGCCGTCCTTAAACCGCTTCTTGATCAGCCAATTGGTCGGTGTAAGGCTCGCTGCACGCGAGGGTAAATATGGTGCAGGGCTGGCCAACTCAACATTGACTCGGGGCACAAGGGTGCGTCGTGCACACCTTTAGACACCAACACCATCCGGATTGCTTAGGAACGCTGACGTCAAGTGACATCAAGAAGAACTGAGGGAGGGGTAGATTTCAGGTGATAAGTTCGGGAACAATTCCATTCTGCAAACAACCATACAAATGATTCTATTTTTATTTTGATTAGTTAGATGTACTGCCATTAACACATCTGACAGACAATATAGGTAAAATATTTGCTCTCTGTTTTTTGACAAGTTAAGTAAAATAGTCTTTTTTGTAGGAATCTCGACTTACCTGTTGAACCCAACTGTGCACTATCTGACAATGCCACCGATTATTTATTTTTATTATTTTAAATCGGTCTGAGCACTACGCTGCGATAGGCAACCGAGCGTGTCCTAGTGTAGACAGTGTACATTGTTGTACCACATGAGCGACAGGGAGAACCCTGACGCGGATAATCGGATCTTATGTTTGTCAAGCAGTAGACTCCCGTTGGTCCACGTAGCGTTAGGAGCCGAGGGAGACCGTCTTCTGTTCCGCTAGGCTAGGGAGAGGCAACAGGAGCAGAGGTTGGCAAGGGACGCAGAGGCAAGCAGAGCTTTTGCAAGGGAGGCAGCTACCTCAGCAGCCACCATGACCACCTCTGCGCAACAGAGTTCCCAAGCTGGCAGTTCAGGGACTGTCAGGGCGACGGTGGCACAAACCCAAAGTCAGTCCGCTGGTGTGATGGCAAACCAACATCCGGTATTAACTGCCGAGGAGGTTGCCATCCAGCGAGCAAGCGCTCATGAGGCACAGCTACAACAGGTATTGGATGAGATACAGGCAGAAAAAGGAAAAATGATCAGACGTAGATCTAGGATGCAGCGACGACAAGCGGACATCAGGGAGTTAGAGGAGATGGACGTGATGAACAAGGATGACGATGTAAGGACCGTTAGGACGGCCCTGCTAGATGTAGTGGAGATGCAGGATTACCATACGGCTCTCTTGCAAGACATTCAGAGGAGCCTGGCCGTGCTGGTCGGGCGAGTTCAGGTCACACCATCACCATCTGGGCCAGGTGCCTGGCCCGTGATACAACCTTCTCCTTTTGTTCCATCGGTAATTGGAGTAGTCCCATCCACACTTTCTCTGGTGTCGGTACAGGCCGCTTCCCATCGGGTTATGCCTTTGACAGGCGGGTTCTCAGAAAGTCCTAGTGTACAGATTCCTGTTCAGACAATGTTCTCCCAACCTCCGTTACAGCCTGCCGTAACAAGGCAGCCTGCCGTCTCACAGCCAGCACAGTTGCAGGGCACACAACCCCAACAGCAACAAGTACAGCAGCCTGCACCCCAGGCCCCACAGCCTGGAGTTGCGCAGGTACCGGGACAAGGACAGTGGGTTCCGAAGACTGCCATCGCATCACCCAAACCCTTCTCAGGAGATAAGAAGGGTGAACACGGGGGCTGCTGAAATAAGGGCTGGGTTAATAGACAAGGGGTGCTCCTAAAAAGGGAAGGGTGATACTAGCAGCTCCATGGGATGATGGAGTCTCATGATGAGTCAGTAAGAACCACAGCCCTAGGAAACAACAAACACCAATCTCAGTGCTATATGATGTATCAATGGGACGCTGGACCCGGTTTCCAGCAGGTGCCGCTCCCCACGAATAGATGGAGCAGCCCGATAGGTAAGCCCTCAATTCTGACAGTTCTCTTACCACCGTCAGGATAGAGGGATATCGCAAGGGCCATTCTCAAAAAA